GTGGTTTAGTTGACCGGGGTGTCAGTATTAGGGCTACTGCGCCACTGGAAGGAACCGCTAGAGCCCCCGCCCTTACCGACTTCCAGTATGGAGCGAGTCCCGGTGAGTCGGGGGTTGCAAAGTCACTCCGAGATCATGCTTCTAGTCTGCGCTTAATTTTTTGCGATAATGCAGATGGAGGGAATTCAATGCTATTAATGCTCGTGTCCAAACTGTCAATCTTATCGCACCTTGTTCATTCAATCCAATGCCCGCCCGCTATTCCCTTGCATGATGCTCTGGCATCTCATACACCGCCGAATCGTGGTGGCTCAGTTCAGCTGGTCGTCCTTGGCCGGTCATCTCTGAGGGCTCGACATGCTCATTTTCCCGGGGTAAGTCCTCCTTGAACACCGATAAGCGCGGTTCTAGAGGGCTTCCTCCCACTTCCACTATACCCGAGACCTTCTCCTGCTGAGCGCGTTCTCTACGTCGCTTCATCCATAGCCAAGTAAGAACGCCGATCAGTAGCGCGCCAACTCCAATACCGACTCCAACACCAATACCAGCCTTGGCTCCCGAGCTCAGGCCTTTGGACTCCACAGGTTCAGGCTCTGGCTCTTGTGCTGGTCTATCCTTGGGCTTCTTGTCATCGGTTCCGTTTGTCGGGAGCTTTTCTGGCAGTGCTTCTGCATCAACCCAGTCGCCGTCGTAGTCCTTGAATGCCTGCACGATCGTCTCGTTGGCCCAGTAGTATAGCCAAGCCTTGCCCTCGCTCTGTTGAGAGACTACGGCTAGCCCGGAACTCGCGTTATCGGCGACAGGCCAGGCGCGCTCTGTTTGGTTTGAGCCAAGCTGCCAACCATTCTTCGTCGACTTGACTTCGTGTATCATCTTATCGTTGCCGATATAGAAGACACTCCGTGTTCGCGATCGGTCCACTGCTGCGCCAATGGCTTCGAGGGAAGAGTTCCAAGCAGGAAGAGAGAAGTCAGCTTCGTCTTCCAAGTTCCAGTACATATCCGAGGGCAGCGTGTTGTTAGTGTAGGGTCCGAGGAACGTGTTCGGGAACGCGTCTACTACTTGTCAGCGAATGCTTCAGCTAGTACTACCAGCGCGATGGACATACCTAGTGTCCAGAGGCCAGACTTATCCAGGCGCGACAGCTCGACATTGTCAGAGTCTTTGGGGAAAGGCACAGTAATGTTCTTCAAGTCATGTATCGTTGACCCTAAGGCCATGCCTCCGGCAGTATCCTGTGAGATAGCGCCACCATCATTCCATCCGTCATCATCAGTATACCACAGCATCTTGACTCTCCTGTCTTCGTCATGATAAAATAGTCGATATCCATCTTTCTCTCCGAGGTTCACGATTGAGAGGCCTGTTTCGTTGTGGATGGAGTCGACACCCGCAGCCGCCGAGATTTGGAACTCGCGGTCACGTATAAGCTTCCCCGTGGTCATGTTACAGATGTACTTCCCCTGCACGATGGTATTATCTTCGGTCTGCCAGAAGACTTGCGCCTGGACATGCTGTAAGCTTTATACCCCGATCAGTTTGGAGAGATACCACCTACAGTGATAAAATTCACGTCCCCCCAGCCTACAGCTGTAAGCGCAGTGCCATTGCGCGGTGTTTCTCTTGCGTCGAGGATTTTCGGCTTTTCGAGTGGGAAGATTGGGATATCCTTGCTATTGCAGGTACTGTAGAGAAGCTTCCCCGTAGTAGGGTCTTGCGCGCCAACCTGTATGGTGAGGTCGGTGAAAAAAGCGTACAGAGCGGAACCGTAGGTGGCATGAACCAAGGCCAGTAATACCAACCACGACAGCATGGTTGTCTCAATGTTGAACAATGATATTGTTTCAGAAAATGGAGCCTGCAAGGAATGTCGACGCAACGAAACGACGTGATAGAGGGTTGGGAGCATTAAATTGGAAAGAAGCAGCTGTACAGCAAGGTTTGGACCGGGGAGCCTCATTTTACCCCTCAAGAGCTCAATTGACTGCAGGGTGATATGGCTGCGGTAATGTGAGAAAGCCACAGCACCAGACGGGACGCTTGCAGGAAGCAGCTTGATGCCGGTGAGGGATGATCACTCTGGCTGGCAAGCAGCTGAGACACACTCACAATCTTCCAAGGTGCCTAGAATAGCTCCCCACCGCTTTGAATGGGAACAGGCTCAACGACGGCTCTCAGCCCCCAATCCTGTCAAATTGGGATCGTGTCACACAATCGTTGGGGCTGTTTGGTGTGTCTTGAAGATTGCTTAAGTTGTCACTTACGCATACATTCTGGATGCTACTAATATCCTGCAGCAGGTCGGTGCGTTGTGCAACACCATAAAGGCTGTATGGACAAGTCTCGCCAGCCATGGCCAACTTGTTGTAAATGAAGTGGGCTGCGAAACTTATGCATCTACACATCTTCTCATTCTGCTAAAGAAGAAATTTGTGTGAGACAGATCGCAATTACGACCATTGAAAGACGAGGGTTTCTCGAACAGCCAATGGTTTGGGAAACTTTGAAGTTGCGTCTCGCCCCCTTCATCAGCATACATCGGAAGTGGTCTTGGGGGCCAAATATTCATGCACGTTGAGGCTGAAGCTGTCGGCTGGGCTAGCTCTTCTTCTGGACCTCATCGATGCATCGCTATTTTCGGATGACACAATAGCTTTGTCAAGTCACAACCGACATTCAGACCCCTTGGACAAATAGAGAAAGGAGTAGTCGATGCGTCCCGAATGTAACGATGTAGAGCGAGCCTCAAAGCTTTCATTTTCGTTGCATTTGTCGTCCAACGACATAGCCTACAGATTGGCAGAATGTGTCTGAGGTATTATCAATCAAATGCTTATCTCAGAGCCTGATTGCCAAGACTGATCGCATTGGACAAGTCAAGCCTACACATGCACGGCCTGGCTCTCACCAACAACATTCTACCACGATCAAGCCAATTCATCCTGATTGGTACTCATCTCAGCCGCAAATATGCAGTCAGCATTATTTATTGCCAATCGTAAAACCCCGCTATGATATCTCCCTGCCACCTAAAGAATGGTGCAGCGATGTTCCCTCTCCCGGATTAACTCCTGCTGCAGGGCTTCATATTCTCCATCACTGTACTCAGAGTCGGTATATTCAGAGTCCGACTTGCCCATGATAGATGAGTCATCACCATAGCCTGAATCGCTAAAGTCATCAAGAACAGACTCTTCGTAAGAATTGCCGCTGCAGATGGTTAATCATGGGTCGCGAATAGGATTGGGGCTACTGACCTGACCAGCCCTGCCATGACTCTCCAATCCGATGGAAGGTTCTCTTTAACACTGACAGCTTGCGCAGACCTCCGTAAATCTCTCCAGAATCTGTCCATACTTGGTCTTGTGAAGTAGCTCCATGATGCAACATCCTGCGATCAAAGTCAGTGCCTGTAGAAACACCTGAAGGAAGGACTGGGTGAGAAGGCTTACCAGATTTGTGCACATGTGGATAAAAGCGACAACAAATGATATCCACCTCTTCGTCTTGACGGGGCCTCTCAAACCCGGACCTCCTCGAAATTCGATGCTACCAGAGCCGCTCCCAAAGACGTTGTCAAAATTCCAAAGAACATATCTTTCCTGCTTGGGCTCTGGGCCAGACTGCATGAGGTCTCTGATGTCTTCTTCATTAACATCATCTTCGAGCGCATCCCATAGTTCTCTGAGTGCTGCTTCTTCGTGAAAGCTTGACATAAGGTCATATAATGGCCCGGAACGAAGCGTATTAGGTCTGCAGTATTTGTTGTTCTGACGATGGTAGGGAAGTAGCCGAATGACCAGAGGCTCATAGTAGACGACACCAAATGCAATATTGCGAAGTTGGTTCAGGTCAAATTCCATTTCTGGTGATGGTGACACATGAACATGGCTTCCGCAAGCAATGGATGACTCTGGCATATGGAATACACGATCCCATGAGTTCCAGAGAGTGGTCACCTCGTTCTCCCAAGTGTAGTCAGTGGAGAATATAGGTGATACAGCCTCGAGCGGAACTATGAGCAGGTCCAAATATCAGTAGGCGATCAGAGTAAATTCATGACATACTCACTGCATGGATGTTCAGGATCCCCTAATGACCCGTCCTTTGTAATCCACCACTTATCGTAGTGTTCTGGACGCTTTCGATATCGCTGATTGAGCTTGTCTGCTTCTGCTTCGGCGCCATCATATCTCAATGATGTTGCCAACTCCTCATAGTAGACAGCACGCAATAGAGGGTGCCGTACTCGTTTGGGCTCGGCAATGAGCTCCAGTTCGACCCCAAAGTTGTATGAACCAAACGAAGACATGGTGGCTCACGTGAATCAAGTGGAAGATGACCGAGTCGCCCATCGCAAGCAATCGGGGAAGCCATATTCATAATCAACATATTAGTCGCAACATCAGAAATTGAGAGAGGCGATGAAAATGAATTAGGCTCTGAGATCGCATGTCAAAGTACGGGTTGATGCGTATCTATGGAAGTACACAATCAGGCTCGCACTGTCTAAGAGGGTTGCATCCTCATCCATCATCCCAGTTTGTTTGAGCCTTGTATTACCACACTTTTATGATTGCAAACGCCCGCATAACGAGAGACTTTTCTGATAGAAACCTTCTTTTTACATATGTAGCAGCTGGACACCCTCTAGCGCCGGATTTGGAATCTCATGCTTACCTAGACGTGGCTTTGACTGCTTGACGCGCAGATAAGAATTACAAACGTGAAGACGAGAGCATCGCAACCATCACCCAAGGTTGCATGGCAGCGAGCATGACCAAGGAAATTAATCAGCTCATTGAGAAAGCCACCATAAATTGCATCGCTCGTCGCAGCCTAACGCATGCAAACTATTGACCATCAAATGTCAGGTTCCAACGGAAATCCTTCACTCCAACTCGCATAGAACTCTAGCAATTCACTCTGCCAATCACTGGGTATCAGCCCCGAAAACGACTCGACCAGGGTACTGCGTTGCGTGCATGCACATTCACGCCATGCCGGATTTACCGGCGCAGCTCTACTTTGCCTATGGCAGCAACCTTTGGCTGCAGCAAATGGCTAGCCGCTGCCCCGAAAGTTACTACGTTGGCAGGGCGGTTCTGATGGATCATCGATGGCAGATCAACAGTCGAGGCTTCGCGAATGTGATTCCTTGCAGCGGCTACAATGTGCACGGATTGGTCTACCAAGTCAGCGTCGACGATGAAGCTCGCCTTGACAGAAACGAAGGCGTCCATTCCGGCGCTTACACCAAGTCATACCATAGCGTCGTGCTACATGAAGCGGTGGAAGACCTCCAACTTCCAACGCGATACCTTGTCCAAGATGGTGGGCTAGATAAGGCTGTCAACGCGGTGCGGTCAGGATCGCGATCCCATGAGCCCGAGCAGCAAGGCAGAATCAGAAGCAACGTGTTGGTATATCTTAGTAGTCGTTACTCTCAGTGGGGGACGGCACGGGATGAATACGTTGACCGCATGAACTGCGGCATAAGGGATGGTGTCACTCTGGGTATCCCGAGTGACTTCTTCGAGAACACGGTCCGACCGTCCATCCCACTGAGGTCAGTCTCAAGAAGGTCCCCTAGGGAAGGTCAAACAAGAAGACAAGCGCGCCAAAGTGGCCATCGCAGAGCCAGTTCAGATCCTGAAGAGCCTCATCGAAGAAGGCGGCGGAGCTCATCTCCACAACGCAGAACATGGGGCAGTGCATTTCAGCGCCAAGGCTCAACCTTGGGACGTGGCATACGTACTTCTCAGAGGGTTTCAAGACCATTTTCACAATCAACCTCCTGGACGTGGGGGTGGTGATGGAGCTGTCTCATGTCCGGCCTGTCGTATCTACTTCAGCCTACCAGAACTTTTGATTTATCATGCGTATGTACCCAAGCAGAAATAGTTTTCAACCCCGCTGCCCCTGTCAATGTGAGCCGTAACAAGCTGCTAATCAGCCGCATGCAAGCCAGGTCTTAGGTTGCCCAGTGCGGCTGCTCGATGGCTGAGTCACAGTTGATGCAATTGTCTTAGCTTCAATATGCAACGACCCTGATTAGGTTTCCCCATTGGGCATATGGATGCATTTCCGAATATGAACTTCATTAAAGACAAGCATGTAGGGTATAGATGTTATATTTCATACATATGAGTCACCGTGACACTGGTCTCCCGAGCCTGATTTGTCTGAAACACCTTCCAATCCTGGTAAATGATGGCTGCTAAACGTGCGATTATGACTGGTCTCCATCCTTCAAGCTGGGGGTTCTCACCCAAACTAAGAGATCTAAGCCGAGTATCACTGCGAGTATACGAGGACTTGTCCGAAATCATGGCAGCTCAAAGCGGTGGAGCCTGCATGATTGCCAAGTGCCTTTTTGAGTGTCTTACAGAGGTGATCGGTTGACTAGCCGACTGCCAGTTTTAAGTCAACAGCACAGGTTAAGTATTCTGTGGTTTGTTTTATTTAGCAAGCTCACGAAGGCCAACTCCCTACGAATATTGGCCGGATACTTGGTCACGGGTGAATCAGGTACAACCGGCTTACAAAGTGGCATGAAGTCAAAGTAACAAATTGATTGACCGCCTCCTAAAGTAAAATGGAAACATGAATGACTAAAACTGTCTCTCATCTCTGTGATTCGTTCAAGACCTTCCAGTCCTCTGGCAAGGAGTTTCTCAAGGACAGCTGACTAGCGGCTTTCTTGATGGCAGTGTATAAACCTTCCGGTGTCCACGACTCCAGAGTGGAAACATTGGGGTTCGCGATGTTATTCTTGATGAGTTATTAGAGAAAAGCGTTGAAACATAGTTGACAGAACGTACCATGTTGAGTAGAGCTTGGATCAAGGCAATCGTGAAAGCAATCCATCGTTTGGTTCTGATCTCTCCCCTCAGGCACCTCCCTCCTCTAAACTCAATGGTTCCAGAGCTCCCAGGAACGATGTTGTCGAAATTCCACAGAACGTACCTATCATTCTGCATGATGTTCTTCAAGGCCGTGGTGCTCTTTGCACTCTTGATGAGCTCCGCTATGGCGTTGTAGTTGCCGTTGCAGCGCATCAGTTGCGTCGAGTTCAGAGTATTCTGCTTGCAGTATCGATTGTTGGCTCGTTCTCGCATGAGAAGCTGTAGAATGAGATTCTCGTAGTAGACGACGCCGAAAGCAATCTTCTTGACTTGGGGAAGTGAGAAGGTCTGATTGAGGCCCTTGGATACGTGGATGTGACTCCCGCAGAGAAGTGATCGATCGGGCATATGGAAAACAACACGCATTGCGGTCCAGAAGACGTCAATTTCATGTTCCCAATTTGCTCTCAAACTGAGGACAGGGGAGACAGCCTCCATTGGTACTAGACTCCGTCAACATGGACTGCGATCAGGATGGATACGCTTTCTTACTCTTGTCAGTATGAGACCCAAGGGACCCGTCTTTGGTGATCCACCACTTGTCGTAGTGTTCCGGTCTTTTGGTATAGCCTTGTTGCAGATCGTCGGCCTTGGCCTTTAGACCTCGCTTTCGGAGAGACGCAGCGAGCTTGCTATAGTACAAAGCATGCTTGGCGCTAAGTGGTGTTCGAACCTTGTGAGGTCCGACAATGACTTCAATCTCGATACCAAAATGATAATCAGCCATCTCTAGATAATATGAATCATGAAAGTAGAAATTTAGAGACCCTCGACAGGTGCTATGCACGAGCTGGCATCGTCGTCCGTTTCATGACTAGATATTTGACATTTCACCTCTCTCCAGCAAGACTCAGCCGCCTTCCCCTAGGTTTGGTGCCTTGACAGCAGTCATGCTCCCTGATGCTTACAGTGTCATCCATCGTAATTGATGGTGGCCTGGGCTGGCGGTCCGGAATTCCTTTTTCCATCATGGTACATCGAAAAGAGAAGTGGCAGAAAGTGCAGTTTCACATGGAAGTCAGACAGACAGCGTAACACAGAACGCTATTTCACCGGGCTTGATTGGCAGCCACCATCAGCCCGATTATGCAGTCATCATCACCAAATCGTATCATTAATCAGCCGCTGGGTCGGGCGGGCAAAAAGTGCAAGTCTTGTTGGTAGGTCCTAGAGGAACTTTGAAATGGGTTTTGTATTCTAAGAGCCGCATGGGAGTCATTGAATGATTGAAACGGTGTGGGTGGTGGCGATTTAGGCCAGATGCATATTGATGAGTCCTGTACCTCGATGTTCACAGTCAGAATTATACAGTGGTCGGAGTGCAGCCTGATTGAGGCTCTTTTGCCCTTATCAGGCTGTGAGTTCATGCGACCGGTCTGCCCCGCCATCCCATTTCCCAGACTCTCCCTCTTCTCGTATTCTGACCCTTCATCACCAAACAACATTTGTGTATCTACAGCTGAGAGTCATGTATGCCTTCAATCCGTCGGGTCCAACTTATGAGCAGTCTGCCACAGTTGACGCGCCCGGGTCAAGGATGATCAGAGCAGCCAGCACTCTATACTTTGCCTATGGGAGCAACTTGCACCTCGCGCAAATGGCCCATCGCTGTCCCGGAAGCGTTTTCAAAGGAAAGGCCACTCTCGAGTCTTATCGCTGGCAGATCAATGAGCGCGGTGTGGCCAACGTCGTTGAATCTGGAAGCGATCACTCAGTCGAGGGCCTTCTCTACATGATCGGCCCCAAGGATGAAAGGACCTTGGATCGCTCGGAAGGCGTGTCAAAAAGGTTCTACCAGAAGTATCTGATGAGAGTCTCTTTCGAACCTCATCAGCAATACGCGAACTTCAAGACTGGTAGATTATCCCACCTACTTGAGCAGTGCCGGGACTCGATGAGCGGCGATGGGACTCATTTTCCCACCAATGCCAATCGCAAAGTGAGATTCACACCACCTCAAATTGATCCTGTGTCCTACGTAGGCGACGAGGAGGGTTCAGGACGTCATGCGCGTACTGAGCTAGTCAAAGCATTGGTGTATGTTAGCGAGGACTACATTACCGATGGCTCCATCAGAGAGGAGTACATCGCGAGGATGCAAAACGCCGTCAACGATGCAGTATCACTGGGCGTTTCGAAATCATTTGTGAACAAATACATCGTCCCCTTTCTCGACTCCAAGCAAATTTGGCATTTTTCTGCGAGAAAGCCTACAGAGACCCATGATGAACAGCCCAGCAAGTTACTCGAACTGGAGTCTGAGCCAGAAGCTCAGGCTATCGTCAATGGAAAGCCGAATAAAGAGCAGCTCGGCGACATACCTCCAGCTGAGAATAATGTGGCGGACAATTCAGAACCGGCGGGTGATGAAAAGTCAATTGACGTGGATATGAACGAAGAAACGAACCAGGAAGGTAAGATCAACCTTGATCCCATATTTGATGTATTCGTCGCCCTAGTTGTCACCGTATGCCTGGGCTATCTGACTTTCTGGTAGCCCTATCTATGGAGCCTACAGTCAAGGAGGATGACCTGTCTGGGCATATCGATCTATCGAAGCTCAGAGCAGAGAACCGCGACGAAGATGGTCGTTCCAGTGGCATGTTCCCCAATAATTTGTTCGAGGCTGTTGACAAGGTGAACCATTCGGCCATCGATGGCAGTGGGAAGAATATTTACGTTGTCATTGTCAGACAGAAGGGCACAGAGGCTAATTCTGGCTTCAGCGTCTCAACAGCATCCAAGGGGGTTCAAGTGGCTAATGAGCTTGCTATGAAAGAGTTCAAAGAGCTATGTACACTGAACAGTACGCCAGTGGTGGAAGAAGAAGAGCCAGATGTCGTGGTTGTCAAGGAGGTCTCTCCTGGTGATCTGACCTGGAAGCTAGAAGAGGACGCATATCTTCATCTCAGTAGTGCAAGACCTGGGGAGGAGCCTTGGTTGATAGTATGGGTGGAGTCAAAACAGCTGATGGAGTGCCAATAGATATCGCGATGACGGAACATTAGTGCCAATACTCAAGATTGGGGCGAATGGTTTGTTCATAGCAAGCTAATCGGGCGCTCTTGTGCGGTAGTATTTCTTTCTATCACATTTGTACACCTTTAGCACTAGTAGCTCGTATCATACCACTTGAAATCAGCTCCCCAAAGATCCTGCTTCGTCAGAGCCTTATCCGATGGCGTGAAATACTTTCTCTGTGACGTATCGGCACCAGCACCGGTGTTTCCGAACTCTTGGAAGACACTAACAAAGTTAGCTCATGGTCGCTAATGGGATCCTTTTGTGAAGCGTGAACTCACGGTGTTGCGCCTTCGGCCATGGGTGAGTAACCCTCCGGTCTCACAACATTTGTCAGAGTGCTATACTGGTACATGACTCGTGCGTTGACTCTCCAAGGGCGTCCGAGGTAGACTTTGTTGGTTAGATCTTGTGTGCCGGTAGATGTAATCTATACTTTGTCAACCGTTGTTACTAGCATTGGGTACTGTCGCACTTACCGTGCTGTGATCGATGATGTAACGGGAGGTGTCCGTTGGCTCGGTTCGAGAGGATGCCGTTATATAACCCGGTCCATTGGAAGCAATAGTGGCTGTACCATATCAGAAACTGTTAGTAGGGAGAGATTGATCCTGTACTTACATTCTCCAATCCATGCATGACCGTTGCCAAAGATGTAATCAACCACACCTACAGTTGTCAGCCAGAATTCCCACATTAGTAACAGAAGACACAGTCATACCCTCGATGTAACAGTTCGAGTAATACATCCAGCCAGCTTTGACATAGAGAGTATCCTGGTACGATTTGAAGGAGCAGCCGTAAAACCCGGTTTTGTTACCATTTGCCGTCAACGCAACAGCCTTTCCAGTATTTAGTCTTTTCTTTACTCATAAAATGCGATTGAA